AAGGACAGAACAATACCATTTCAGACAAGTGACTGTCCAGTCTCTTCTTAAAAACCTCCAGTAATGAAGCACCCACGATTTCTGGAGGCAACCTGTTCCACTGGTTAATTGTCCTCACTGTTAGGAAGTTTCTCCTTAATTCCAGGTTGCTTCTCTCCTTGATTAGTTTCCATCCACTGTTTCTTGTCCTGCCCTCTGGTGCTTTGGAAAATAAATCGACCCCCTCCTCTTTTTTTGGCAGCTTCTCAAATACTGGAACACTGCTATCATATCCCCCTAGTCCTTCTTTTCTTTAGACTTTTGTTGTTGTTGTTAGTTGCGAAGTCGTGTCCGACCCCAAATCCTGCAACCATTCTTCATATGTTTTAGTCTCCAGGCCAGGACACTGAGAGTAACCCTGATGTCTTGCCCTCAATATTCACCATGAGACCAAGTCAACAAATCTTTGGGTTCTGGCTGCTGTTATTGAACATCAGGTTGGTGAAATTTAACAAATCTGCCCCACCGCCCTCTCTGCTTGAGCTGCAGAGGATTCCATGGCTACACTGGTAGTGGAGTCCTTGAGGATGATGATTCTTGAGATCCCTAAGGCTTAATGGTCATTTAATCTGCCACCTAATGATACTCAATCTGGGACAGTTCAACAATTCATTGCCCCCATGGTCCTGTCCCAAATAATAGAGGACTCAACACATGCATAGTGCTGAAAAAGTGACCTATGACCAACTCTTGCACTTATGACTGTTGCAGCCTCCCACAGTCACACCATCAAAACTTAGGTGCTTGGCAACTGGTTTATACTTATGATGGTTGCAATGTCCTGGGGTCATGAGATCACCATTTGCAACCTTCCCAGGGGGCTTTTGACAAGCAAAGTCAATGGGGCAAAAGCCATTTTCATTTATGACTATGATTACCTGCTTAATGACCATAATAAAAATGGTTATAAAATCAGATGCAATTCACCTAATGACCGCAATGCTTAGTCACAGAAATTACAGCCCCAACGGTGGCCATAAAATTGAAGACTACTTGTAATAAATTTAATGAAACAAATAAATACATAAAATATGTGGGAGTTAAAATAATTAAAATCAAAAAGACAAAAAAACGCTTACAGCCTGTTCCATTGCATACTATGATTAAGGACTAAGAGTTTGACCTCATTAAAGTATTTTATATACACCCAAAATTTGCACACAACCCATTCTGCACTGTTGGAACTCATCATAGTTTCCTTGTTCTTGTACTTTCTGAGTCCTCAAGAATGGAGCAAGAATTAGATGAATCTGGAGAGGCGAACCTATCACCCAGAAGAACTACTTCTTGCAAGAGGACAAAATAAATTAAAAAAAAAACATAGTATTTCAGTGTTTCTCAACCTGGGTCTCTTTTAAGATATGTGGACTTTTGTTTTCCTTGCCAATGTTGAAAAAAAGAAGAAACAGCTATGATTGCCAGCTCATTTGGAAAGTAAGTCAAGTGTCACACAACTAGAGCTACCATCTAGTAAGAAAGGTCAGCCCATAAATGCATTGTTGTTGCTTTCCTTCTCTTAAAGTGGATATATGAGTTATGTTCAGTCATTTAATTTTGGCTTTTTACTTGTTTAGTCTATTTAGCCTAGAGAGAGCAGTGGTGGTGCAGTGGTTAGAATGCAGTATTGCAGGCTAATTAGGCTGACTGCCAGCAGTTCGATTCTCACCAGTTCAAGGCTGACTCAGCCTTCCATCATTCTGAGGTTGGTAAATTGAGGACCCAGATTGTTGGGGGCAATAGGCTGACTCTCTAAACCGCTTAGGGAAGGCTGTAAAGCACTATGAAGTGATATATAAGTCTACGTTCTATTTCTATTAACATACTGCTACCTATCACTGTTCCTTTTTCTCCAATGCTATCTATAGGCTCTCAAAAAATCATGTGATATGCAAAGTCCAGCTCTCCAAGGGCAAAGCAGAGTTAGGAAAAGCTCATTCAAGCTGCTTCATGAAGAATGAGCAATTAGTGGCCTTGCAATTGTAAGCTGTGGAAGAAAATATCTTTATTCAATGGAACGTGCTGAATTGTTCCACAGAGGATGTAGCAACCACCGGCCACCTGATCCTTATTAAAAATATAAATCTTCCTTCCAGACTTTATTGAAGCATCAGGTCTCATTACAAAAGAGGAGAAAGTGGCATTAGCTCATCTACAATGCAGAATTCTGAAGCAGGTTTTTTGGGGGGAGGTTATGTCTGTACAGGAAAACTTACCTTGCACCTTTAAATGCTGCCTAGTGATTCCTCAACCACCCAGAATCCTAAACAAGCTACATGAAAATGTTCTTTAAAAAAAAACTTTTAATACTTTAAATCACAATTTTGCCCTGAAATAAACATTACAAAAAAAAAGCAACACTAACTCTGAAATGTGAGAATAAATCTGTAAGACTTTATAATATTAAAGATTTTCAATTACTGGGGTTTTTGGAAGCCCACTTTCAATAATAAAAATTAAGGTTAGTGGTAGTGTAAAACCTAAGCAGACAGATTTCAGAATTAAATATTGGCTCAGTGGCTTAGAGCCCTGTCTAAGTTCAGCTACAGGCCTAGCTAGTTCAGCCCACTATGGGAAGTCACTAAGCAGAATATAATGAAATGTATGTCCTGCAAACTGCAGAAGGTCAATTTTAAGATGCTAATCAGTCATAATTGCTAACTAATGCTTCATTGACATCAGTTCTAAATGAGCATGTGCTGAGCTTGAAGCCTCCATTTAGGCAGTCCTTGAGCAGAACATGCTGATACTCTACTCATCTCCCCCACCAAGTTCTTTCATACAAAACATCTGCTTTGCTTCTGTGGTAAGGGCAGAACTCCAAGGCTGGGGTTGTTGCCTAGTCACAGAAGCAGCAGGTGCTGTTTCCACAGCAGCAGGGCTGACTGCTCAGTAATTTATCATGTCAAGAGAGATCTGATTAATAAAGACTAGAAAATGCAAAAGAGCCAAAGTTAGTATTTCTATCAAGGGGCTGATCTTCAGCGTCACTGCTAGACCCACAGACGTTGTTTCCCACCCTGTTGCTTTCATTTCTCCGTCAATTTCTCAGTGCTTCAGAAATACATCTGTGAAACAGACACATTTCTACAGAAAAAGAAAGAAAGAGAGCAGTTTTGGCATATTACGCCAAATAAAGAATTTGGGGAGCTTAAAAATGAGTATATTTTTTATATCATAAGCTTATTTCAGCAAACACATCAATGATCTCCCAGATAATAAAAAATAATAATTATACTTGTAATAAAAATAGTCTTATTTATTTGTACGAATGAAAAAGGATGTTGTGAATAATCCAAAGGGCATAACATTAGGGGATACTGGCTATTTAACTGAAGTCATATGCTACAGATTCCAGAGTTAGATTTATATCCGGCATCTCTGCAATCAAGGATCCTGGAGCAGATGCCTTTTCTCATTGCATATCACAACTACCAGGGTTGGTAAAATATGTTAGGCAGATCCTAAAATCTGAAACACTTAGTAAGTTCCACCTCATAATATTAATTGAATATTAAATTTAACAAAAAGTCAGAGAAGGCGAAACTTATAATTTCTGCTTTGCACGTTATGGGCTTCTAATGCATTCCCTCCCTTCTCAACGAGATACCTTTGTTTTGTGTATTTAGTTGCAACGCGTTTAGATATTAGCTGATTTGATGCAAACATATTCTCGGCTGGATGCAATAGAATAAAAGAATGTCGTATCACAACAACCTTGCTGCTTTATCATTAAATAAAGCTCAGTTTACACTTATTGGCATCAGCACAAGAAGTGCAACTTTCTAATGGCATTTTTGTTATTTCAAATAAGCATTTGAACATGGCCAGGACTAACTACACTTTTTTTTAAAAAAAAAAAAAATGCAGACATCGAGAAAGGAAATTATAATGAAATTATAGCCTGGGAGGGAACCACGAATTGGCATCTATTTATTGAAGCAATATAAATGAGGAAGCAACTCCCATGTTTTTTACAATAATAATGAATTTAATCTAGATCCGAATATATAATAAACAAGTTACTGGGTATTCAGATTTTCTTCCAGTTTGGCTACATTTGTACTATATACAGAGGCTTGACTACAGTTCATTATCCTGCCCTTATCATCTTTTTATAGATACATACCTACTAATCTTTCCTCCCCCTATTTTTCCCACAACAATAATCCTATGAAGTGAATTGAGCTGGGATAATAAGTGTAAACTAAGCTTTATTTAATGATAAGGCAGCAAGGTTGTTGTGATACATTCTTTTATTCTATTGTATCCAGCTGAGATGGCTCATAGTCACCCAGCAGAATTTTCATGCCTAAGATGGAGCTAGAAGTCACAGTCTCCTGCTTTCTAGCCTGGTGACAAATCTGGGGAGTATTCTGATTAAACCATTTTGTAATAGCAGAAGCCAGACAGGCAAGTGGAATCTGCATGATTATGCTTTGAGATGATATACTAACCAATAATGATGGAACGTAGATGTTTTTTCACAATCAGATAGTTCAGCCCCAGATTCTGGCCACAACAAAAACTACAGACATTAAAATAACAAGGTGGTACTATGTCTTTTCTTTTTAATACTGGCATATTTAGTATTGTTGTTCAAAATTAAATAGGGTTATTTTAAGAAGGCTTCACTATTCTGCTAATGAAGTCATATTTCTGTGTTAGTGACCTTAGCTAGGACTGATAACGATTAATGGATATGTTTCCAACAAATCTGAGTATTTTGCATTACATTTATTTAAATGGACCAAGAAATAAGTGCTTGTATCTCCTTTCATTAGAAGGCATCTTATATTTTTCCACAGCAAAAGATTTCTGAGCCTAACATTTATTTATGTGATTTTTCTGATTTTTTTAGACTGAAACTTACTTTCCTTTGACTGATGCAATCTTCACAAACAATAATACACAAAAAGCAGCAATTATGAGACTAAAAGGAACTAGAGAGATTCACTGTTATTAAGTTTACTAACATTATCATCTTTTCAAAAATTCAATGATTTTTCAGAAAGGTCATTTTTTACAGAGCCTGCAAAGATGAAGGATAAACTGTATTTACTAACAGACAAAAGTTTGGGGAGATTTACTGAGGATTATTTTCAGATTTTTCCATATGACACACATTCTTTGGTCCACCGTAACAAAGCAGAAAACACCATTTTCAATACAGAGCTTGCTCAGTGCTACTGATACTACTCAGTTTCATAATTATTTGTACCAAGAAATGCTAACTAATTCACAAACTTTGCTGGGGAAATACTGAAAAGTGTTGTTTCTGCTTATTTTCAACATTCAAAAATTTCAAAATCTTCATTCAATATTTGTAGAAGAATTGGGATATCAACTTAACTTCAACTATATTATTGAATCCATAGAAAATGCTGTTTCCCTATAATAGTAATGGTTGAGTCTAACTTTATAACCTGTCTTGCCTTGTAACTGACTTGATTTGCTGAATTTCTGGTGAAAAAGTCACTGAAAAAAAAGTGCTTTTCTCTAGTTTTTTAAAAAACAAGTTAGAAAAAAATCCATCTCAGTTGGAACTCACATCTTGTTTTTCTACACTAGGTAGAATCACATTAAGAGGGGAAAAAAATTTAACCTGAGCCGTTTTCCATACTTTGTAAACCCTAGATGCTGGTTGAGATTGCTAAGAATTCAGGAACCCAAATTCTTAACTCCTTTTAGGTTAATAGATTTAGGTGAAAAATAAAGCCCATTTCCTAACAGTAAGTTGAGCATGGTTAAAGGAATTACCAACATTCAGGTCTTAAGATTTTAATTGCTTTAAATCCTCTCTACTAGCTTTGTCAGTTTTAACCCTCCTGTCTTACTTAGAAGCAAACCTTGGAAAGGTAGATTGGAGACAAGAAAAGCATGGTACTAATTCGTCAGTATTGTGGCCAACTAAAATGCAGATTGTTTTCCAAATCCCCAGTTCTATATTTTGATATACTTTCGACTTATATATTTATTATGCAATTTCCCAGTGTGTGCTCATTTGCAAATATTTGCTGTATCCATTATTTACTTTTATACACTAATATATATTGTGCTAATAATTTACAGTAGGTCACTGTAATCCAATGGATATACAGTATTGCAAACTAAGTATAACTGATAATAATCTTAATTTTTTGTATATGCTCAGCATGACTCTTTTTAAGAACAGATAGCAGATCATAGTTTCCTAAAGAAACTTCCTTTAAGTAAAGATGCTTTTGTATGATAGCTTTGAAGAAATGTATCCTCCTTCCATCATTTGTTTCCTCCCTGTTTAATTGTCAGATTTTCTTCTTTTAAAATTATTTTAACTATAAGTAAGAATCGATGCATTTGACACATGTGGCTGGGATTTAGCACCATTTACATGTACTGTATAACAGTACATCATCAGTATTTTGTTCTTGTAAATAATCACATTTTATCACCATGCCCAACTCTAGCAAACTTAAGCTTAATACAAGTAATTAAATCAAGCCACTTTCTTGGCTTCTATATATTATACAAAGCTCAACTGTTTTCCTGTGCAACTGTTAAATTAATTATAATTACAGCAAGGACATAATGTTAAATTGCTGTTTACCTTTGAACTCAATGGAATAACTAAAGGTTATTATTTAAATTCAGGTTACGTTGTTATTTTGGAAACTAACAGTAGAATAAGTGGGCATAAGTCAGAACAGAACAGTGGGCATAAGTCAGAACACCTGCTAATAAAAAAAAAAGAATAGCAGCAGGGAAAAAAGTTGAATGAAGCCATGTATAAACAATACACTGCTGTTGATCAATATTTGTCTTTCGTTTCTATCAAGTCAAGCCCCCAGTATTGGTTAATTTATCCAGTCTATAGTATTTAAGAGCAGTTTTGTATGAGATAAGTTTATTTAACCTTGGCAAGAGCATACTTCACAAAGAAGTGGGGTTTTTTTCTTTACTAGATTCTTTTGTTTTTAATTTTTTTTCACACTTGAGAAGCAGCAATAATCCATTGGTTTTAGAAAAAAAATATATTCTAGAAGCAAACTTACCTCTCAGGATACACAAGAGATATAAAGGGCAATAGCAGAACAAACAATATTCTTTCATTTTCTAAAAATGGAAGAAACGAATGAGCACATGTATAGCTAAAGTTATTAACTGAAGATGATGCAACTGCTGTGTTTAGGCTCATTCTGTTTGTAAAAATATAATGTCCCTGGTTTTCTTAAGTAATGTCCAGAATAATACATATTTGGTCCTGACAATAATTCCCCAGTATCTCTTACCTTCGTTAACCCCTGAACTAAGACTTCCTGGTTCCTGAACTTCTCTCTCAGTTTGCGTTTCTGCATTCTGTAGCTGAGGGGCCAGAGTCTGTGTGCCCTGCGAAGTCACAGAGGTGGTTGGGTTCCGCGGCTGCAGGCCAATGGCATTCATTAAGCCCAAATCCCGATCTGTCCTCCAGGTGGCTGCTCTGCTGGTTCTGAAGAGATGCACAACCGAATATATTTAGGAACTAAAGAGCAAATACAGAAATGCCTGTATGCCCCTGAAACACCCAGTCATTCCTTATGGTTTCAACAGGCATCCCATTAAGAATTTTAACGAAAAAATGATCGAGAAGGTATTCAAAATTTGACAAGTTAGTTGGCTTATCTATATTATGTTTTCACATCTGATTTTGACTAAAACGATAATCCTGGTCCTACAGTTAGAAACAGTGTTGGATCCCATAATTGTTTTAAGGTTGGAACTAGTCCATTACTTTTGTAGTACTTTTCTAAGTTTTCAGTTCCCGGAAGCTTAATGTTTCCAACTGACTTAGGAAGGTGTGGTATTAACAGCTGGAAGGACTGTGGTTGACAGATTTACCTGAACATTTCACTTTGCATTAGTGAGATAACCAAGTATAAGCAGTGATATTATGCCATCTGGAGTAGAATTCAAGTGCCATGGGGAAAAATTAGTTTTAAAATTTTAGAGCTGCCATCATAACAACACCCAAGGGTAAGCAATACAATTACATCCAGACCTTGACAATAACAATACACATATTTCTATGTATGACTGGTTGCCTCCAAACTCATTCTCCAGACTCACCCCGGGCGTTCAGTACTTCTGCTGCTGGAATGCACAGTGAAGACAGTTTCATTCAGCTGGTCCCAGTAGTATTCTACACCAGAGTTTAATGCCCTGCCATCCAAAAGCAATAAGTCAAGAGATAAATGAAACCTGCCTGGTCCATATTAACAAGATTATATTTCCCAAATTTCACTTTTCAAAATAACATTCAAAATCTGCAGCAGGTAATATCAATTGTTGCTGTGGAAACATTACAAGGATTTCATTTTCTGTCCAGTCTTAAGACAAAAACTAAAAAGCCCGCAATCCCTAAAGAATCCAGTCTGAAATGTAAATTTAATTCTAAATTTTTTACAGATGGTTTGCACTGTACTAAATCTCGATATACATACTGTAGGTATGACTTTTTTCTACCTTCAATTTAAAGTACTTCTAGCATATACCAAACTTAAGAAGACACAAGAACTTTATTTCACAAATATAGCACTGAATATATATTCCTGACAGTAGCCAATATAAACATAGGCTATTCTTATGACCTAGTCCAGTGGTTATCCATGATCCATGGACCTCTGGGTGGACGTGATGTTGTCACAGGGGGTCCATGAAGGCCTAATGCAGTCCAATGCTTTAAATCTTGAGTTACGTCTTGGTGGTCTGTGGCGATCATTCATGGCCACAAAAGACATTTAAAGGGGGTCCATGGTGAAGAAAAGGCTAAGAACCACTGACCTAGCCCAGGGGGCCCCAACTCCCCCTGGGCTAGGTCACGGGGCACAGCCCACTACCGGGGGGCACAGCCCACTACCGGGACTTGGGGCACAGCCCACTACCGGGACTTGGTCCATTCGGAAGTGGGCCTCATGAGTGCAAAGCAGCTCCACTTTGCGAGCACCTGCTTGCTCTCATGTGAAGCTCCATTTGTGTGAGCAGCAGGCTCCCATTCCTGCCATTTGCACAAATGAAGCTGCACGTGCTTGTACACACACCTACCACTCACAAAGAACAATCCCCTCTCCCCCCCCCAAAGGGCTGCAAAGCCGGAAAGGTTGGGGACTGCTGACCTAACCAATAACTTATTTATAATACAGCAACATAGAAAACTACTAGCGAACTTTATTGTCATTTTTTTTACTGTGAGCACACTGGCCCACATTAAAAATGAAAATTCTGTTGCCTGCTCTCAAAAGAAAGTATATATCTACCGACACCCATGCATAACACACATATACACATGCTATATACATACATATACATATATATATACACACACCACACATATACACACACATTTATATGGATATATATTCAGTGAGGGAAACAGTATTTGATCCCCTGCTGACAAAGAAATTATCAGTCTATAATTGTAATGGTAGGTTTAACAGTGAGAGACAGAATAACAACAACAACAAAATAAAAAAAACGCATTTCAAAAAAGTTATAAACTGATTTGCATTTTAATGAGTGAAATAAGTATTGGACCCCCTATCAATCAGCAAGATTTCTGGTTTCCAGGTGTTTTTTATACAGGTAATGAGCTGAGATTAGAAGCAATCTCTTAAAGAGAGTGCTTCTAATCTCAGTTTGTTATCTATATAAAAGACACCTGTCCACAGAAGCAATCAATCAGATTCCAAACTCTTAACCATGGGCAAGACCAAAGAGCTGTCCAAGGATGTCAGGGACAAGATTGTAGACCTACACAAGGCTGGAATGGGCTACAAGACTATCGCCAAGCAGCTTGGTGAGAAGGTGACAACAGTTGGTGCAATTATTTGCAAATGGAAGAAACACAAAATAACTGTCAATCTCCCTTGGTCTGAGGCTCCATGCAAGATCTCATGTAATGGAGTTTCAATGATCATGTGAACGGTGAGGAATCAGCCCAGAATTACACGGGAGGATCTTGTCAATGATCTCAAGGCAGCTGGGACCATAGTCACCAAGAAAACAATTGGTAACACACTATGCTGTGAAGGACTGAAATCCTGCAGCGCCCGCAAGGTCCACCTGCTCAAGAAAGAACAGGAGGTAGGCGCCGCAGCGGCCTCCCAGCCACCTGCTTCTTCGGCTGAAGCAGTTGCCAGGGCTTGCATGGTCGCCGGCGGCGGGGAGCGCGTCAGCGGCCCTTGGGGACCATGCAAGCCCTTGCAACTGCTCCAGCCGAAGAAGCAGGCAGCTGGGAGGCTGCTGTGGCGCCTACCTCCTGCGTCCGTCAGCTGGCGACCCCCGGACCTGTGCCCGTCAGCTGGAACATCAGGCAAAGCTTTGGCCGGTGCGGAGGGCGAAGGGGAGGCCACCGCAGCGCTGAACTCCTGCGCCCGTCAGATGGCGACCCCCGGACCTGCGCCTGTCAGCTGGGAGGTCTGGCAACGGAGCCAGCTGGCGTGGAGGGTGATGGGGAAGCGGCGGCTCGGCGGGCAGGGTCCTGCCTGTGCGCGAATGTCAGGCCCACCCGCCCCATCTGTAAAAGAAAAAGTCTTCCGCCAAGCATAACCTTTAAGGGTTTTAAGGATCTTTGAGAGGGAGAGAGAAATAGAGAGAGGGAGAGAAAGAGAAATAGACAGAGGGGGAGAGAGAAAGAGAGAGGGAGAAAGAGAAAGAGAGAGGGAGAGAGAGAAGGAGAGGGAGAAAGGGAGAGAGAAAAAGGGAGACAGGGAGAGAGAGAAAGAAGAGGGAGAGGGAGAAAGAGGGAGAGAGAGAAAGAAAGAAGGAGAGAGATTAAATTAGTAACATGGCTGTTCAGTGAATCTGGTTTCCCCACTAACTTTGCTTGTCACAAGGTTGCAAAAGGTGATCACATGATCCTGGAACAATGTGACCATCATAAATAAGAATCGGTTGCCAAGCATCCGAATGTAAATCACATGACCCTGGGGATGCTGCAGTGATCATAAGTGTGAATAATGGTCATAAGTCACTTTTTCCAGTGCCGTTGTAACTTTGAACAGTCACCAAGCAAACTGTTGTAAGTTGAGGACTACCTGTACTTTATCATTTTTTTCCATTTTTTTTTTTGTCATCAAGCTTTTGACACCTTGCTGGGTGACTGGTGGTACTCGAATGTTGCCATATTCTAAAAGTGGTACAATTGGTGAAAAGGTTGAAAAGCCCTGCTATATAGAACAAAACTGTGGCTGAATTTGGATGTTCTGCTTTGGATACCACGAAGCCTCCTCTCAGAAGGTAACAAGGAAAACAGGTTGGGAAGAGGATGTGTAGCATACTTTCATAACTCTGAACACCTATTTGATGTCGACAAAACATACATAACACAGAATATACGAACTTCAAAAATTATGGCATTTCATCATTAATGGGATAGATATTTCAGCACCTAAGCCTAAATTTTGTATGTCCTGGTCTCAAACTGAAGGCATCCAAGTTGACCTTTCCCCAAATAACTACTATTTTTACAGGGATGAAATGTAAATAATTTCAAATGGCTCCAAAAGAGCCATTAATGTCATTTGTCTTTACATGTGACTAATTGTTAGTGACATATTGAGTTTTCATCCGGATAAGGTTATTTCCTAGGTCTCAAAAGCAGTTGCTTTAAAGACTTGCAGAGATGTGCTAGAATCATACTCTTATGTTCACTTCCTTCTATCCTTCTATCCAGCACATGGCATATAAGTAATGCTTGACCAGGGTCCATAGTATTGTCAGGGACTTTACAAATCCTGTCCATGACTGGCTTTTATTACTGCCTTCCGGGAGGAGGCTTCGTAGTATCTGTATCTGTAGCAGGACAACCAGATTTAGTAACAGCTTTGTTCCATATAGCATATTTTTTTAATCCAGTTAAGCCGTCATGGGTCTTGCATACCTCCCATGCATACATCACAATTTAAAATAACATTATCATTTTCATTAACTCCCCACCTTTATTATTTTTTATAAACAACTCAAGGTGGTGAACATATCGAATATACCTTCTTCCTTCTATTGTCCCCACAACAACAATTCTGTGAGGTGAGTTGGGCTGAGAGAGAGTGACTGGCCCAAAGTTACTCAGCTGGCTTTCACAGCTTAAGAAATATTTCAGAAGTATAGTATATTGAAATTCGTACCATGTTACGATATTACAAGCATGTAACACTACAGAATAAATAAAGTATGCAAACAGTATGTAGACTGTTATGTGATTTTATACAAGTATTAATTCTGTTCCAGACAAAGAACAAAGAGCAGTTTAGCAACTGAGTGACTGTGATATGACATTTAAAATTGTCCTACAACATAATACTTAAAAGATCAAAAGTGTTTTAAAATACTCCCTTAAACGAGTCCAAGTTTAGTGATGACTCTAAGCCTTCCATCTCTAATTTGGAACTCCTGTCTTGTAAAATAGCTGGCATATTCACAGCCATAATACAACAATTTGAAAATTGAGGTGATTTGGCAGGATTTTATGAAGTGCTTTGCCAGCTCTCAAGGATGTCTAAGGATGTTGCAAATTAAAATATCTGAATGTATCCTAAACCATATATTGTCAAAAATCACCACCAGTCAATTGCAAAGGACAGCTTTACTTGGAATAGCTTATATCCTGCAATGATATCTTTAACACCATCAAACAAGACCATCTGTCTATCCAAGGTCTTTGAGAAGGACTTGTAGGTGGATAAAATTATCAAATAAATATCTGGCTAATTGTGAAACAAACCATACGATATTAAAAATCTATATGGTGAGAGTCACTCCAAGAATCAGATGGGCGGTGTTCTTAATAAAACTGTTCTTCATAAAAAGGTACCGACAGAATCTTAGTTGATAGTTTCCGTGCCTTTAACTGAATTTAGATTTTCCACCACGAACAAAAGAGAAGTTGCCAATAATTAAAGTAAAACTAACAGATGTGCATGGAACAAGAGCCAAAACATTCTTATTTTAGTTGGCTTTCAGTTCATGGCATGAAAAATTAAACTTTAATATTTGTTAACAGTCTGAAGCAAGGGGTAATGAAAACCAAATCAAAGAAATCCTATAGTCTTTGCTCCCAGGATTTTTTATCTCAGATGGTTAGAAGAAGGTTGCTAGTATCAACCTTTACAAAATTTTAAGTCATGGGTCCCAAACATCTGAAGGACTGTTCAGAACCTCATTCT